CCGCCCCTCCGGGGGCCACTCCCGTCCCCGCCCCTGACATCTGCCCTCGGCCCACGGCGGTCTCAGTGAGCAAAGGCGGAGACAGGCAGTGTGACACGAGGCACCTGTGGCTGCATTCCTTTATTTTTTATACATTTTTATTGATTTCAGAGAGGAAGGGAGAGGGAGAGAGAGAGAGAAACATCAATGATGAGAGAGAATCATGGATGTGCTGCCTCCTGCATGCCCCCCACTGGGGATGGAGCCCGAAACCCGGGCCTGTGCCCTGGCCAGGAATTGAACTAGGACCTCCAGGTTCCTAGGTCGACGCTCCACCTCTGAGCCACGCCGGTTGGGCTCATCTCACTCTTTGTTACACAAGCATTTCCCCAGGTCCTGAGTGGCAAGAACTGTGGGGGCAGGTGTGCCCCAAACCCCGAGGGTCGTACTACTCAGCAAGTAAGTGGGGCCTGCTGACCCGCAACCGGCGCCCACTCCTCCCCCCCCGAGGCTCCCAGGACAGCGTTCCAATGGATCCCAATCAGCTGGCCCAACCGGTGCACACGGCCACGCTTCCCCACACGCTTCCCCGCAGATGTGGACGCGCCGCTACCTCCTGACTGAGTCTGGCCTCTGGTCCAGACCACAGCCGAGCTGGGGACGCGGCACTGTCCGCGCGGTTTTCTGTCGATCGCAGCTTATTAACTGCGGAGCCTACTTTGATGGACCAACACGCCCGTCAGCGCAGCCCTGCTCTCCACGCAAAGGCAAGAGGCCCCGGCGCACTTGTCCCGCGGGAGCAACACGTCTGTGGAAACCTGTGCAGCTCCCCTGGCGGACAGACCAGTTCTTCCAGGATCAACACGCGGCGGAACAGCGTCCAATGCTGACCCACAAGGAGAACGGTCACTGTGCCAACGCAGAGGGCGCTGTGGTGACAAGACCGCGGCACATGGCACAGGGAGCCCAGGGTGCCCTTCTCTGTGCAGAAGGAGCCTCCCCGAGGCGGATGGGCCGCCCTCCGCGTGGGGCTTTGCTGGGGCCCGTAGCTCCAGCCCGACATGGAGACAGGACGTCACTCCCATCAGGACATGCAGCCAGGTGTGTGGGAAACTCTGCCCAGCTCATTCGGGGCAGGAGCCGGCCTCCCGAGAATTGACAGTGAGTGAGGAAGGACACGCGGGGGAGCCGGGAGCCGGGAAGGTCTCCAGCAAGAACAGCAGTGCGAAGAGGAGCCCGATGGACCAGCCGCGTGCACCCCCGCCTCACAGGTGAGCAGGGGCGTCCGCCAGCGTTCCCAGCTCAGACAGCGCCCGTCCCAGCTCGGACAGGCCCCCAGGTCACCAACTGCATGGAGCCCAGCTGCATGGAGCCCAGCTGCACGGAGCCCAGCTGCATGGAGCCCAGCTGCACGGAGCCCAGCTGCACGGAGCCCAGCTGCATGGAGCCCAGCTGCACGGAGCCCAGCTGCACGGAGCCCAGCTGCATGGAGCCCAGCTGCACGGAGCCCAGCTGCACGGAGCCCAGCTGCATGGAGCCCAGCTGCACGGAGCCCAGCTGCACGGAGCCCAGCTGCATGGAGCCCAGCTGCACGGAGCCCAGCTGCACGGAGCCCAGCTGCATGGAGCCCAGCTGCACGGAGCCCAGCTGCACGGAGCCCAGCTGCATGGAGCCCAGCTGCACGGAGCCCAGCTGCACGGAGCCCAGCTGCATGGCTGCACGGAGCCCGGCTGCACGGAGCCCAGCTGCACGGAGCCCAGCTGCAAAAAACCTCAGCTGCATGGTGCCCAGCTGCATGGAACCCAGCTGCAAAAAACCTCAGCTGCAAAAAACCTCAGCTGCATGGAGCCCAGCTGTATGGAGCCGGGCTGCACAGAGCCCAGCTGCACGGAGCCCAGCTGCAAAAAACCTCAGCTGCATGGAGCCCAGCTGCATGGAGCCCGGCTGCACGGAGCCCAGTTGCATGGATGGAGCCCAGCTGCACGGATGGAGCCCAGCTGCACGGATGGAGCCCAGCTGCACGGTGCTGAGCACACTTTCCTCTGACCAGCACCGCAGGAGAGATGCCTTTCTCCACTTTCTGAGCATTAGAGATGCTGCGCATCTTCAGTCACGATAAGGAATAGGAAGATGGAAAGGCACGAGTGTGGCTCCCGGCAACTCGGCCTTCTGTCCGGGGACAGTACTCTCAGGCCCTCGGGGCCGTTGTGTCAGCGATGGTGGCTGATTACAATGTTCGGAGTCCGGATTCTGGAAGGTTTCGATAGAGAAGAAACAAGGTATATTGGGGGTGCGCGTCCCCCGGGAAAGCGTCTGCAGTACCTGGTTCTTTTGAATCTGGGAGAGTTTAATAGTGTTACAGCGGTCACCGCCTCCTCTGCCCGCGCATCACCTTCAGGGCGAACAGGGAAACCACATTTGAACCTTTGCCATCGTGCCTGAGTCAGTAGAGGTGGGTCAGGAGGAAGGCTGGGGGCTGGGAGGGGGCCAGTTTATACTTTTATGTTGTTGTTGTTGTTGTTAATCCTCACCTGAGGTTATGTTCCCATTGATTTTTAGAGCGAGTGGAAGGGAGAGGGAGATACAGAGAGAGAGAAACATCAATGTCTCCTACACGCACCCCGACCAAGGTGCGTGCCCTGGACCGGCATCGAACCCAGGACCCTTCAGTCCGCGGGCCCATGCTCTATCCACTGAGCCAAACCAGCTGGGGCTGGACCAGTTTAAGGCGAGCCGTTCACACAGAATCCGTGGGCGCGGTGCCGAGTGACGCTTCCGGGCATTCGCGCTTTCCAACAACGACGAGCGGGAATTCGGAAAAGGCCCTTCCCTCCTCCACAGTCCCACGTCCCTGCGAGCTGCACACTCATCCTCCAACCACCGTGGACTGTGGAGTGATTGGTCACTTACAGGCATGTGATCTCATTTCCTCCGCTTTCCCACTCCCGTGGGGACCCCAGGAGGCGAGAGGGCGCCCGGGCTGAGGTAACGCGGGATGAAAAGCAGCCGGGAGTCCACGGCGGTGATGGATGGGCCGGGGGCGCCGGGCCGCCTGACCTCCCTGCCCCGGGGCTTTTGTGATTAATCCACCCACTCGCTTAGGAAGTTCCTCTCCACACGAGAAAATTAAAACCACCGCCCTCTGGACAGGAACGCGGGGCCATAAAGGAGAACCAAGTAGGCGAGATTTACACGAAAGCACCAGGTCAGCAGAAGAGGAAACTCAGAAATGGCTAATAAGGTATAAAGCAGGGAAGGTATTAGCTTGCCCGGGCAAGGAGAGAAAGCGCCTGGAAGTGACCTGCTGGACTCCGGGCAATGCCAGTGCCCCCACGGCTGCCAGTCTCAGGTACGTGGCGCATGCCCATGAGCACTGCCACCCGCCCTGCTGTGTGAAGGGCTAGGCAGTGCCGGGAAGGGCGCCTGGTGGTCACAGCGCCTCCAGAATCACGCAACATTTCGAGGGTCCCCCTCATCTGTGCACCCCCCAAACAGCAAGCACAGGGGCAAAAATATTTGTTCAATATGTGAACGGATCAGTAAGAAGATGGATGGATGGAATAACAAATAGACAGATGGATGCATGGAAGGGAAGAAGGAAGGAGAGAGGGAGGGAAGGAGGGAAGGAGGGAGGGAGCGAGGGAATGTGGGGCTAGGGGAGCTGACACCCTCCCACCCTATGAGCAGACGAAAATCCGCGCATAATGTCGGACTCCCCAAATGCTGCAGCTGTCCCTCAGCATCCGTGGGGGACTGTTCCAGGACACCGACCCCTCCCTGCAGACACCAAGGCTGTGGATGCC